TCCAGAATTAATAATCTTACTAGGGTTTCTACTTCGTAATGAGGTGCCTCTCTGTGAATTCTAAGCGATCTCACAAACCATTCAACAACTATTATCGCGATTGTGTTGCCATTTTCGGTTTCCAGACTTGTTCCAAAGCTGAAATAATAACGGGAGGCTTTTTCCCGGGTTCTGGTCACTAACTGAGAGAAGACAAAGATCCTGTCTCAAATTCCAAAGTCTATTCAAAGAGTTATCAGTTTGCTTACCCGAAAACTATGAAAATCAGTATCGAGTCAGTTTCTTCGTGTTCCCACATCAAACAGAAGCTCTGCTGGAAAATGGTGAACTTAGCAGGCACAACTCAAACTTGGACAGTCTTCTCCCAGTCCGTAGTCAGAGACAAGTTTACAGTGAAAAACAGGCCTTTTTATACGAAATACGGCATAGCAAGAATTTCTCAGATTCTACGGAATTATTTGGGATTTGTACTGTCATTGGCCAATTTCTCTAAATGTCCTTTTTAGGTAGAATTTAGGAATCTTGTTATTGTCAAAAGCGGGCTATGTTTACATCCATATTTAGTAATACCACAATTTGGGAGATACCTGAAGATGATATTTCACCTGTAATAAATACGCTTCACTACTTGGGTGCTATTAAATTTCTCAATTGGAGGTCATAAACAAGTGTATCTATTTCAAGAGGCCTCTTCGGATGTTTTCAAATATGGAAAATATTTTAGGGATCGAATATCATCAGCCACCTGGTTGCTGGACTTGAAACAATATACTCGTGGCCTGTAAAGTATCAGTTGTCATCCCAGCACTTCGGATGTATCTACTTGTTGATCTGTCTTCGAGATTCTATTACAAGAGTTGATATACGATCCAACCAAGACATGAAAAAGGGAGGGGGTGTACAATGTACTAGGCGGCTATTTTATTACAATAGTCATTAATTACGAAAAAGGTTCTGTAGTCAATGGTTGCGAATAAATCTACATTCAAATTCAAACGGTAGATTGTGATTCACTATTGGGATGCTCTTTTTGTACCGTCCTCTTTGCTTATTGGATGATGCTCAAGTCATTTCGAAATTGTCTTGTATTGTATTCGTCCTCACTAGTGATACCAATTTCACAGTTGCTGTGATTGGTTGGACAGTTTTCATCTCTCAATTTGATTTTTCAAAGATTTTTTAATCAGTGTGCACTGACAGGACTGATTTTGTAGAAATCTTGAGTCAAAATGGAACTCTTCCACTTGTTTATTGCTAAGAAATTCTGTCTTCAAGAGAAAAAATATTGTATTTGACTGTATAAATGGCTTGAGGCACATGAATGCTGTGGCTCCTGAATTCCTGTATTTACACTCATTTTGTTTATTAAATGTAAATTTCGTTTTATCAAATTACAAATTCTGTGACTATAGTAAAATGTTTATAAAGGTCACTATATCAATGTATGATTTTCTATTGCGCAATTATTAGCACAATTAGTTGCGTCACAGCAAATCTTTGTCCATCTGTGGTCCAAGAGGGCGCACTGTTTATAAATTAACCAAAAACCACATTCAAGAGAACCTGAAACAATGTACAATTTTCAATATATTAAAGTTTCATTTTTAGATTGTAAAATCTTTAAACAGACTATATGGGTTTGTGTAAGCGATATATGCACTTACGGCGATGCGCGGATGGTGGTTTTTTGTTAATGGGTGGACCACTCAAAAACAGAAACCTGAGTTAGCGTCCTCGGCGATGCAGTTCAAATGGGATGCTTTGCGGGTGTCAAATTTTCCACCACCAATTCCCTCTTTTCATCATAAATTTGTGTACCATAGTCCCATTTGTAGTCTGCACTTTCCTTATAAAGATTGTGAAAAAAATAGCGAAATTTTTTAGTAAAAACTGAAAATTGAAGCAAATTGTGTCTGTTGACTTCAAAATTAGGGTTCATTTCCAGAAATATTGAAGACTATGAGAAAAAAGTGACAAATTTGGGTTAGAAATTTTGGTGGTGAAATGTTTAAAACATGTTTTTCCTTTGGGATATTTGTTTAGATTTGACACAGCTATATACTGTAAAGTAATTTAATTTCACAAGAGAAAAAGTTATTGAAATCATGAAATTTTGGAGAGGTGAAAATTTCTTTGAAATGCTATGACACTGAAGATGCTGAATCGTTAATAACTTCACTTACAAGAATTAAGTTAATAACTTCACTTACAAGAATCGATATAGGAAACAATTTTTAGAAACCACACCAAAAT